TTCTACCCATTATTTTATAATTATGTAAACATGTTCAAATCTTTTAGAATTCTTTTCTTGTTGAAGAGTACAACTTATAATCCAAAAACAGCTGCATTTTCTCATTTCTCACCAACATCTCAGCCTCCATAGTGCAGCTTCTCCTTCTAGAACCATTCTGTTCTGGGTGTTTCAATAAAAGGCTCCCATTTGTCAACCAGTCTCCAAGGTCCTCTCAACCAGTCTCCCTTCACTCAGGGCACTCCTGACCTCATCTTAAAACCACCTCCAACTTGGACTGGTCACTTCCCTCTGAAGGTGGTTTGTTGTAACTTGGGCCCCTGCTGAACCCTTTCCTAACTTTTCTTACTGTACCTGCTCCTTGAAGGCAGCACAGTCCCAGGGTCCAGTCCTTAAGATCCATCTTATCTCACACCCTCTCCCAGGGCTTCTTCTCCCTCAGCTCCTGTGTCTCCTCATACATCACTCCCAGATATCACCAGCCTCCCCTTCTCCCTCCCTGATAGCCCCATCCCTGAGGGTTACATCTGCCAGGATTCCTCATATGCTCTTCACACCTAAAATTCTACATCTGAATTCATGTTGTTGTCTCATCTGAGGTAAATTAGCAAAAAACCCCCAAATGTTCCTAATTCTTCACCCTTCTTCATATCAGGCTCACATTCTGCCACGTACATTTCACTCACACTGTGACTCTGGGTTCAGTCATGTGAACGTGACTTCATTCATGAGAGATCAGCTCATGTGACTCAGCAGAGGTTTAAAGTGCTGGCCCCATGGGTCTTCCCTCTGCCATCTCCATGGAAGGACTTTGTAGTTCAGGTGGAGCAGGGCCTGTCACCAGCCTTTCCCCCTGAAGATGTACCCCCTCAGCCAGGAGCCCGTGACCATTCACGTAACAAGCCCAGCCAAGGTCCACTTGGTGACATTTTCACCTGACCAAAAAATGTAGGAGTAAGTTCAGTGGAGAGTAGTCAAGTCCATCCAGGTTAGCTGAAGTCCCCACCAGCCCATGTGAATACAAGTCCACTTGTATTAACTGAGAGATTTTTTCTGTGATTCTTTGTTGTTGCGAACCAGCTGCAGCAATCTGGGTGTCAGGGTTTCCTGAAGGATGGGAAGGCATTGGCGCAATTGTAGAGAATCATAAGGGAAGGGGGAATGAGGAGACATGGACACTTGCTCAGTGTGCAGGCATCGTCTTACTGAGGGTCTCAGCAGCCCTTTATTTATACATTTCAAGCAAACTGGGAGAGTGCGTAAACATATGCATTAGGGAAGATAACAATCACATCTTTCCCCAGAACAGCAAGGGTTGATTTACCCTTTCACAGAGGCTTGTCACATTTGCGTTAATGCCAGGCAAGCCACACTGACTCTTCCCTAGCCCCCAGCTCTCAATTAAGGGAGGAATTCTCCCAATCTAAACAAAGAGTTTTTTACTTATTACTCTTCTACTTATCTCTGTCTGCCTAGTTTCCATATCTAACTTTAAGATTAAAGGAAAATTCCTTTTTCTCTGAGATTGCTGATTGTTGTTTGTAGTTGTAAGGAGTTAACAATATTTTATCAGAGGCAGGGCCAAGGATGGTTATAACTAGCTCAACCAGTCACAAGACTGTTGTTGATTTATTCTTGAATGTATACTCTAACAGCTACCATACCAATTAGCCCTAAATAAACAGGAATATGGTGCCTTCTGGCTTACTAAGAGTTTTCTTATACTTGGAGCCTGGCTCACCTCTGACACTCAACTGTTACCTTTAACTTTAAAGTAAAAGACTTTCCTTCTCCAATTAGCCCTTACCTCAAAAGGCCACATCTCCATACTAAAAGACTTGGCCAACTGATGTTTATAGCCTTTTGTTCCCAGAAGTTTTTTTCACTTCTTAATGTAAGGCCAAATGTTGAATTGCTGCCTTTTGGCAGAGAACTACTAATTTTATAAAAAATGTAATATTTGTATCACGCAGTGCCATTTGTCATCAAATTGGTTATTCAGTAATTGATCAAAAAGCAGTTGCAGTTTTACTTTTAAATGCATATTTTAGCAATGCTAGAAACTAGCCATAAACATATGAGGAGAATCTTGGAGTCAGCTAACGAGATTCCTGACTTTTCAGAAATCTGCCCCATGCCCGGACTTTTGTCAGATGACATGAGTAGCATGGCTCCCCATACTTTGTTACACAGCAGCACTATGGTGACAGGTAACTGATACACATTATCAATGTTCCTGACGTTAATTATCAAGCAGACTTTACAAAGACTCATAAGCCTCTGTAATCCCCTCTTCCACTTTAAATTCTGTGATCCAATTCTCCTCATTCAATTGGGTTTTTTCTAATCTCACTGACGGCACCTCCTGTGCACCCACCTCCACCTCTTCACCCCGTAACTGCAGCCACAAGTCCAGATACTGTCCCTGTCCTTGTCCTCCCCACTACTGCCAGAGTCACATGCTAAGCATTGTTGTGCTGAAAATCTCCAACAGCTCCACATGCAAACACCACAACATGCGCACCAGGACTCCTCATCTGTGACTCCTCCCCAGCCTCTTCTCTCTGCAGTGCTCACACTTTTACACCTGTGCCCTCAAGGCCCAACACACCAAACTAAAGAAGCTAACTGCTGTTGTCCACAATCACTAGGCTCTGTGGACTCCATTGTCCTTTCTTCATCTGGTATGAGGGGCTTTATAGACCCTGTTAGATAAAATGATGTCCCAGCTCAAATATCTACATCATATGGAGGTTTTAATGATTGCCTTGGGGAGCATAATCAACTACCCTCGACCTCTCCACCATGTAATCACAACATTTATTTATGAGAGTATTGTCACCTCACAACACCCTGCCCCTCACTCTCCCCCACCAGCCATGAGGATCCATGTGAGCAGATCACACACCAAACACACGCTCCCCCCAGGTCATTCACACGGGCTGTGCCTCCACATAGAAATTCCCTTCCCTGTAATGTACAACATGCCTGTAGCCAACATTGCTGTGTGATGTGTAGGGAAGTTGTTAAAGGACAAACTCCAAAGAATTTTATTCACAATGAGGAAGTTTTCTCCTTTTTGCTTCTTTTTCTTTCTTTTTATTAAACCTATAATATCAGACAGATGTGATTTAACCTATTGTGGCCATCACTTCACTGTATATATAAATCAGTCATTATGCTGTATGCCTCACATTACATATGATACATATTAATTATCTGTCTATGAAACTGGGGAGAAAGGAACACCCACACATCAGATATCTACTCAGCTGTATTTCCACTTCCCTGGAGTCTTTGCTCCCATGGCACCAGCCTGAGCTACTATGTATTACTGTAACCTCACTTCAGCCCCTATCCCACATTGCTGACCCTTTTTCCCTGCTCCATTTAGCTTCCTGTCCTCATCCCTTCTCACTTTGAAATGTAATTTATGCCCTGATTATTGATTACAATTGCTCTATCTCCCACTACAAACATAAACTCACAGAGTGAAGAACTTCATTAGATTTGCTTTTGTATCCAAGAGTTTAGAACAGGGCCAGACATGTAGTAGGTTCCCTGTATATTTACATTTTATAAAACATAAATTAATAAGCCTTCTTTTACTCACAAATGAAATGAAAAACTAAATTCCATTGCCTTATTTCCGCCCCCAACTCCAAAACTCCAGGACTCTGAGATATTTAACATGTCACCAACCTGCCACCTGCAGCGCCAAGCTGGCTTGCCCACGGAAGACTCCATTGCTGAATAAGCAGGTGTACAGCCCATTGTCAGCAGCCTGGACCTTGTGGATGCGCACAGCAGCCTTCCCCACACTGAGGAATTCCCCACCAGCGAGGTCCGCCCTGCGTACTGGGCCATCAGCTCCTCATGCCACTCCTGTCGGTCTTGATAGGTGAACACTGACTCCAAGATATTGGACTGGAACCACCTCACCTCCATGTTCTCTGCACTCATGACTGGAAACAGGGAGCAGGGCACTGTGGCGTCTTTGCCCAGCTCTGCCACAATGGGGTCTGGGGGGCCAATCACACGGAACCTATCTGTGAACACAGACTCGGGACGTAGAAAGGCTGAGAGACACAGTCATATCAGGGAACACACACCATCACTGGGGGAGGCCCAGGCAAGCTGAGGGAAGGTGTCTGATGAGCAGACAGCTGACATGAAGGATTAACAGTGACAATTCTGAATCCTGGAAAAGATCTTCCAACCACAACCTGTGGTCCAGAAATAATGTCAAGGATGCTCCCTCATTCACTAGTGTACCCGATAGCAGGAACTTCCATAAAAACTCTAACTCCATGGTTCTCACCTTCAGCTTCACAATCACCAGGAGGGCTTGTAACTGTAAAATGCAGGGACCCTACCCCAGGCCTGATGCAGCCAATTGGGATGTACCCAAGAATGTGCATTTCAAAAGAGTTCTTGGGGGACTAAGAAGGTGTCTGAGGAAATTCTTTTCATTGCACAGGGGGTCATCAATATGAATGAACGCACAGGGCTCCCAGAGAACACCAGGCTTGGGACAAAAAGGGACACTCTCATACAGCAGTCACCAGGCAGACAGCACCAAAAGGGCCACAGGGGAGAGTCATGCTTCACTGACCAAGAGTTAGGCAGAGAGAGACACCTGGAGGCTGTGGTCATGGTGGGGAGGCTGCAGTACACACTGTGGGGCTGTCACTCCACCAGGCAAGTGACCCTGGGCAGGGAGAGCTGACAGTGAGGGACTCACTTCTCTGACTGGGGCACCCAGCTAACAAGGTTCCCAGTGAAGAAACAAGACATAGAGCTGCATATGCCCCACTACCCTCTCAGGACTGGCCCCGCCCTCCTGAAGCTCAGGGACGGTGAGCACAGGGAGACAAAGATTTTTTCCCAACCAGTGGGGTGTCTCTCTGTTTTGTGAGTCAGCTGCAGCAGCCTGGGTGTCAGGGGTTCCTGAAGGATGGGGAGGGGAAATTGAGGAGACCAGGACACTAGATCAGGGTACAGGCATAGTCCTGCTGAGGGTCTCAGCAGCCCTTTATTTATGCATTTCAAGCAAACTGCGAGAGTGCATAAGCATATGCATTAGGGCAGGAAGATAACAATCACATCTTTCTCCAGAACTGCCAAGGGTTTATTTGCCCTCCTGCTGAGGTTGTGGCATTTATTATCTTTTGATTTAAAGAAGGCACATTTGCTAAACAAAATGCTCTTAGAGTAGTCATTTACCTTAAACAACCAGTCATTTTATTACTAGCAGAAAGCTTATGTGACTGCAATTAACATTTCTATGTTTGCCTTAGTGAACAATTAACTAAGGGCTAGGGGAAACAAAGGGCAGGAAGTTACCTGGGGGAAGGGAGACAAAGGGATATTTTCTAACTGACCTATAAAGTTTAGATTAACATATAACCAAATAATTAAAGCAAAAAACAGAAGACTTTTATATAGAAATCATCATCAATAGTATATTGTTTTAATATTGATCCTTAAGGAACAAAGGGCCTGGAGGGCTTTAATGCCAGGCAAGCCACACTGACTCTTCCCTAGTCCCCAGCTGTCAATTAAAGGAAGAATTCTCCTAATCTAACAAAAGGGCTTTCTACCTATTACTCCTCTACTTATCTAGTCAGCCTAGTTTCCGAATCTAACTTTAAGATCAAAGGAAAACTCCTTTTCTCTGTAAGATTGCTGATGGTTATAGCTTTTGGTTCTCAGAATGGTTAATATGTGACACATCAATAGTTGTAACATCTACTATTTCCGAGTGCATTATTTGTGCTGCCATGGTTACTAGCTCAACTAGTCACAAAATTGCTGTTGACTTATTCTTGAATGCATACTCGAACAGCAACCATACCAATTGTCACCTCCAGGGGAAATAGCCCTAAATAAACAGGAAGAATTTAGCAGGAGCCGGCTGTGGCATCTCCTGGCTTATCAGGAATTTTCTTATACTTGGAGCATGGCTTGCATCTGCCACCCAACTGCTATCTTTAACTTTAAAGTAAGAGAATTTCCTTCTCCAATTACCCCTTCAAAAGACTACATATCCATATTAAACACTTGGCCAAAAGATGTTCACAGCCTTTTGTTCCCAGAAGTTTTTTTCAGTTTTTAATGTAAGGCCAAATGTTGAATTACTGCCTTTTGGCAGAGAATTACTAATTTTATAAAAAATGTAATATTTGTATCACGCAGAGCCACTTGCCATCAAATTGGTTATTCAGTAATTGATCAAACAGCATTTGCAGTTTTACTTTTAAATGTTTATTTTAGCAATGGTAGAAACTAGCCCTAAACAAATGGGGAGAATCTAACAGGAATCAGCTAATGAGATTCCTGACTTTTGAGGAATCTGCCCCATGCCCGGACCTTTGTCAGATGACATGGGTAGCATGGCTCCCCATACAAGTTGGATAAAGTAAACTCCAATTAATGTAGGAGAATCATTCAGAGCTCATTCCCTTTCCTGTCCTAACAACATAAAATCCCTTGTAAATATTTTCTTTACCAGATAAAAAATGATTTCCCATGGAAATATTCATTCTACCCTTAAACAAGTTCAAAATTATGTCTCAGCACAAGGCCTGACCTGACCTCACAGCCACGGCCCAGGAATCTGCACCCAGAGCAGGAGGACGAGACTCCAGCATCCAGGACTCACTCACAGGTTTGTCCACAGGGAACCTGCAGCCCCAAGAAGAGCCCAGGGCAGGGCTGGGCAGGGAGGGGCTTCATGGGGACATGGTCTCAGGGGTGCAGGGGAGGAGGGGGGCTTCAGGCCCTGGGGCAGCCCCATTCACACCAAAGCCTGAGGGGATCCCCTCCCCTGGGGGATTCACAGGCTCCCCTAGAGAAGGAAGTTTGTTCATGGGCACAGAGGGCTTCTGGGGCCCAGCCTCAGGGGGCAGAGGGTCATGGACACGGCTCCTGTATAACAGACAAAGTATGGAAAGAGGGGCCCGGAGAAGGACTCGGGAGGGAAGGAGAAGATGTGGGAGCCATCAGTCATGTCATAGAAGGAGACGTCCCCGTGATCATAGTCTAGGAAAACCCTCACCCTGTGGGGAACATGCCTAAGGGATAGTGGAGTAGGAGGGTCAGTAAGGGCTTGCGAATTACCTTCAAACTGGGCAAAAACCCAAAACCCATCCAGGGGGGACGGAAAGTTGCATCTTGTTTTCTCATCTTTCCTCCTGACCCCCAACCCCCACTCAATTCTGTCTACATCCGTGACCTCTACCTCCCAGTAACAGCGCCCTGATGTGATGCCCTCAAGACCCAAAACACTGTATAATCCTTCCATTCCATCCTGAAGAAAAGTCAGACTCTTCTTGTCATGAGAGAGGACAATTCTGCGGTGGCAAGAACGTGGATCCAGAGTGACAGGCCCTGCAGAGAGAGAACCCATATGGCAGCCTGACATCATAAGGGCACACATCTCACCCTAGATACTCAGCTTTATGGGGAGAGGGATATGTTCCCTGAAATGAGAGCCTGTTGACCCCAGTCCACAGCCCCCAAGCAAGAGAAGGAACCACAAGAATACTGGGGCTCAAATGTCACAGGACCCCTGGGGACCCATCTAGACCCCAAGGACTAAGGAGCCCCTTCAGCACCCATGAACAGTCACCCCAACCCCAGCTGTATGACGTCACAGCTGCAACCACCCTCCACCCACCATGGAGGGTGCAGAGTCTTTGCCCACACAGAGAACAGAAGGAAAGGCCAGAAGCTGAACAGCCCCAGAGAAAACAGTCACTCACAGGCCTGGAACTTCTCCTTCTGCCAATCTGCAAGAGACACACATATCACGTAAGGGACTCTAGATACTCACACATCAGGACCCACGCCTAGTTTTCTACAAGAGAGTGACACAGAGTTCACAGAGGGAAATATTCAGAAACCTTTAGTGGATGCATTTAACTTTTAGATTCATACACATGCGTGTGCACGCGCACACACACACACACACACACACACAGTTGTTATGCTGCAAATTTCCCATGATTAAGACATAAAGCTTAACATTCAGGGATGAGAGGCTGAACACCAACTGAACAGAAAGGTCTTTACCCAGATACGACCATTAACTTATACTTTTTAAGTCACCAGCCACAGGCCCATCCTGGAAACTAGGTTTTCTTGAACAGGTTCTATGGAGATGAAACGCCCAGGACTGTGTGTGCTTGTGAAGAACTAACAGCCTGGATGTGCCGCTTCTCTCTGAGCCACGGGGCTTAGAGCTACAACCAGCCCAGGCCTGTATGCAGCCCGTTGCTCCTGCCTCCTGGGGCAGCAAAGACCTGTGGAAGCCTGGAGATATGGGGGCTGGTGGGCAGAGCTTTTTCCTCTGATTGAAAATAAATCTGCTTGTCAAACAAGGGGAGAGAGACAGGCAGAGAGAAAGAGAATGACACAACGTGGCTGAGCTGCAGGTGGGGCTGACTGTGACATGAGTGAGGAGACTCAAGGACACTCAGCAGAGGGCCCTGCCCACTGAGGAGCAGGTGGAGAGGGTTCTAGGGGGAGAGAGACATGTAGAGTAGGGACATGGACACACTGGGAAGATCAAACACTAGTGACATCACTCCACATTTTCATGTGTGGTGGAGACAAAACCATCCCTGCACACAGAGAAGAACACAAACACATTGGATTGACATAACTGTTTCCTTTAAGAAGAGCCCAGAAAAATGGAAGCTTCAAAGTAAAACCTCTCTGTATAAGCAGAATAATGACTTCGAAGGTGTCCATGTCCTCATCCCATGAACCTGTAAGTGTGTGTCCTTGACAGGAGAAAGGGAAATCTGCAGGTGGGACAGAGACAGGACCTGGAAACAGGGATGTTACTGAGGACCATCAGGGGGAACCAATCACATGAGCCTTAACAGCCATGACCCTGCACCTGTGCTCAGAGACAGTCACATGGTGACGACAGTAGGGCCATAAAGAGGCTGTAGGGCACGCTGTGTAGACAGAGGATGGGAGTCCCTGGTCAATGTAGTGGGCCCTAGATCCTGGGAGAGGAAGGGGCTCCTGGAAGGAAGGAGCTGCCAGACCCTGGAGTTAGTCCCAGGACAAGGTCTCAGGTGTCTGTCCTGTAGGCGTGTGAGATGATAAACTGTGTGGGTGACGCTGCTCAGGGTGTGGTGATGTGTGTCAGCAGCAGCTAGAGCTCTGATGCCCCATGTGGGGGCCCAGTCAGGAGAGCAGGGCCTGGCAAGGGAGGGTCTCGAGGGAGCATCAAGACCCCATGAGTGGGCTCCCCCATGAGATGAGGTCCCAGGAGTGTCACCTGCTCTGGGGGGTAGAAAGAGGGAGAGAGAAGGCCCTGGAGAGTAGGAAGGGAAGGACAGGTGAGGAGAGGAGGACAAGGATGTGGGACAGGAGGAAGGAGCTAGAAGTTTTATCAATTTGCTGACCAGAGACAGACCCCAGACCCTTACTCTGCTGGAGAGAGAGGGTCACCCACGAGACCTAATGACCACATGGGATGTGCCCTGTCCCCTCAGCATGTACCACACAGGTTCATAGACCAGAGACCCCTGAAATGACTGAAAGGGGAGAACAGGCCTGACATCACCCACCCCACACCTGCCTGGGAAGGAGGAAGCAGGTCATTCCCCAACACTCAGATCAGACACAGCAAGACTCTGAGGCCATCAGGGGAGAGCCTGAGTTTCCCAACCGTGTAAGGAGAGAGGGGAAGAGAGGAGAATCCAGGATCCACATCTATAGGAATAAGGAACATCTTCTTGCACACATGGTGTATAAATGTGTGACACCAGCCACACCTGCACAAGTTCACTCAGAGTGTAACAGGGTGGTCCCCAGGAAAAAGGGAGATTCCAGGTTTCCTGCCCCACCCACGGGAGGGTGGAGCTGAACAGGTAGAAGAAGCTGCAGAGGAGACTGTGAAGGAAGGAATCAGGATGGAGCCAAAGGGACCTGGAGGAGGCACATGGAGTGGAGAGACACATGAAAAAGCTGCACTTCCCTTTTGGTCGTGGACTGGGTGACACAGATATGGGTGAGACTTATGACAATGGCACTTTTCATCTTGATTTTGATTTTGCTCTTTTCCTCCCAGACTTGTCTGGTTATTTCTGATCCTTTTCTAAGAAAAGGATCAGATAAGAAACAAGATCACAAGATCTTGATAAGAAACAAGATCAGGGCCTCCCTGGTGGCACAAGGGTTTAAGCACCTCACTATGAAGCAATCTGCAGCCTCTGCAACAAGAGTTCGATCCCCAGCCAGGGAGCTACCCACATGGTGCAACAGACCTCTCCTGTCTTGCCCACTGCTCCCCTCAGCAGTGTATTTCAGTCAAACTGCCTGTTCTGTTTCCCACTCTGTCTCTGGCAAATCCTCTCACCCCCCAGCATCTCTGGCCTGTACCTCAGCTCTTGTATGCATAAATAAATAAATCTTAAAAAAAAAAAAGAAAAGAAACAAGATCACATGCTATGATTGGGTGGCATATATGTGACCTCTTTGTAAAAAATGGAGATTATAAATTTACTTGTTTTTGCTGAGACATTAGTTGACACGCAGCTCTAATGCTCTACACCACACTCCTTCATACAACAATAAAAAAAAGGGCGTGGAGGAGAACAGGAAAAGGAGCAGCAGGAACAAAAAGTGAAAATCAAAGTGGCATTTAATGCGAGACACAGCGTGCCCAGTACTATGTATGCACTGACTGCGCTTGTCAGTTAATTTTTGTAGCAAAACTTTAGCTGAAAAATTTTTGTTAAATTTTACAAATAATACAAGATCACACATGTAACCATCTGTGATTCTGTCAATATCAAAATGTTGATTCTGGTGTTTTAATGTGTTTCATTCAAACACATCTTTTTTGCATGCCACAGGAAAGTTTATATTAAAATGCATGAGACAGGAACTCAGCAGAGGCTGGAATGATGGTAAAGATGACTCTGTGATCCTCACTGTATAGAAATGAGCCTCCAGGAGAATCAGGGAGACTCTCAGGAGGGTCCTCACACTCCTGGTCCCAAGACCCTCCCCTACAGACTCCTCTCTATGGCTCAGGGTCTGTGTCCAAGACCATAAACAAACTCCTGAGCAGGGAAAGAGTATGTGACTCAGGCTCAGGAGGCTCAGATCTCCCCTCACCAGCATCACTGACCTTCCCTGAAGTACCCTATGCAGACCCTGCTCTGGAGGCCCTGGGGTGGATCATGTGAAAGACACTGCAATTAGATGGTCACCTCAATAATGGTTTTTAAAGTGTAACTTTATCTAAAGTACTTCAAAAGACCCACTGTAGTTCATTTCCAAGCCTTTCACAGTGTCTGCAAATAACAAATTCAAATTGGTGACTGTTCCCAAAACCTCTTAAAGGCTCTTCTCCCACACACCCCTCTCCTTCCTTCCCCTCTGTATATCCATCCAGACGTTTCTTTCAAATTTCTCCCCAATTCCTTGGAAATGGATTATAACCTTTTTAGGTTTGTTCTTTTCCAGTCTACTTAGTTGCCTCTTAAAAAAAAAAAAAAAAAAAAAACCTAAATAATAGCAACCATGAGACTGTCAGACAGAATTCTCCTTGAAAAGATGATGGTTCTGAAAACCATGCATTGTTTATCTTGTTATAAAGACACCTAAAGTACACAAACACACAAACTAGATCTTATAGTAATTTCAGAACCTTCACAGGCCCCTGCCCAAGAATCATAAACACCCCAGAAGCTCTGACCCAGATTCAGAACACCTTCCCTAAACAACTATTCCTCAGTGCTCACAAGGATTAGAAGGAAAATCCAGCTTGGACATGAATCAGAGCATGCATGAGAAGACAGAGAATCAAGAGGAAACAGGAAGCAAAAACTACATCAAAAATAGGACTGGGATTTGGGATCCAGAAGGATCCATAACCCAGAACCCCTTAGCAAGACCTGACTCTGAAGCAGGAAGTAGGATGTCTGGAATTTTCCAGAGATCAGCAAATCATGAAGCACACACTTGTATCTGCTGTAGCCTCTCCTCACACTGACCCCCACTGTCCTCACCCACAAGAAAGGACCAGGTGACAAGGGGTCAGAGGGTGCCCTGCAGTTCTCAGATGGAGGCTTCAGAGTGAAGGAAGACCAGGGAGCCCAGGTCCTTCCTGGTGGGGTCCCTGATAGAGAAGGGGCAGAAGGGATGCTGGGAAGGGGTCCCAAGACCCTCGGGGTCACTCACCTGCATACAGCTGGGCTTTCCTCCAGGCTGAAAGGGAACACACAGGTGAGACCTCAGCACAACCAGCTGCTCTTGTGATCTAAGGGCTCTGGGCTCCCCCATTCTGCTGGTGAGACTCTCTAGGGAGTGGAGGGGAGAGGCTGAGAGGTCATGACCTCCTGCCCTGTGCGATTGCAGGGGGATGTGGGAAAACCCCTGGCTCAGGTCAGGAGCCTGCAAGACAGACTGACCCAACCCTGCCTGCTGCTGCTGTGGGACTTTAGGCAAATCACTGAGCAGCTCTGGGCCCCACAGCCTTCAAAGCTCCTGCTTCACCTGCTAGTCACTGTTGCTACACAGGATCAAAAACAGTATATGGGAAGATATTTTTTAACGTACGTATTATTCCATAATTATTACATTCAGTATTTCTTGGAAATTAATGGGAAGATGAAATAAAAACACAACATGGACATCACACCAGCTCCAAATGCAGTATTTCTAGTGATGAAAACTCTCTGGGAGAGGGAAATTCCCCCTCTCTCTCCCATGCAAGTTCACCCTGTCCTCTCCCAGCACCACTGATAAGCATCTTCAGGAGTAGAGAGAACAGAGACTCCTTGGGGTAGTTTTTGGAGAGAGGGCAGGAGGAGGTCACACTAAACTTGAAGAGTCCATTTACTTATAAAATCTCAGAGCAGCTGATTGCCTTCTAGGTGCTGAACAAAATGAGATACATTGAGAACTGAAAGCCAGCACAATGGGGAAAGTCAGGGCTGGAATGAGACTAGGACACAGGAGACTCCAAGGGTCACCACCCCACCAGGATCCCAAGAATGGGGGAAAAGCAGCACCCAGATCTGGAGAGGCCATGGGGCAGGGTCCTGCCTCCTACCACCTCCCACTTCCACCCCAGGGAAGGGGCCACATGTCTGTGCTTAGACAGCCAAGGGGAGGAACCCCTGAGCACAGGAGACAGGGACCCAGGACACCTGGAGCATCACTCACCAGCCAGGTAAGCTGCCTTCCTCTGGTCTGAAAGACAACACAGGAAACAGGTGAGCTAAGAATCAGAATGTCACCAATAAAGGGGACACAGAGAGTTCAGGAGGGAGAGCAGAGCTTACCTAGAGCTTCCTGGAGAACCTGTGTGGAATGTTCTCTCCAGGTGTAGCAGGCAGCCCCCAGGAGCAGGAGCAGCAACAAGGTCAGGCTCACCAGGAAAGCCGGCTTCCAGGGAGAGGCCCGGGGAAAGAAGGGCTCTGCAGTCAGAGAACCCCACAGAGAACCCATCAGGACACAGCCCAGCCCAGCACAACTACGGGTGCTGGACCCCCATCTGATACTGCAGGAAGCATGGAGTGGGCAAGCAGCACTGACCTGGGATGACCATGGCCATGGCCTTCTCCTGGCCCAGGACGGGGTTGAGGATGGAGCAGGTCACGCTCCCCACAGAGCTGTCTCTCACCACCAGAGAAGCCTCCACGCTGAAAAGCCCCTCAGTGTCCTGGGCCTGGACCTTGGAGAAGTTCTGGAACTGCTCCCCATGGGGGTGTCTCCACTGCATCTGGGGCTCCGGGAACCAGCCTGAGGCTGTGCACACCACACGCACCCCGTCCTCCTCTGGCCCCGCGATGTGCATTTGGGGGGCAGAGCCCACACCTGCAGAGGGAAGATGAGAGCCAGGTGGGGCAGGACCCACCTGCACACACCTCCAAGGGAGGCTGTCAAGGTGCACTCTGGGGGTCTGGGGGAGATCTGGACCAAGATGATGACCTGACATATTCATCTCTACCTTTCTACCTATTGTTTTAATAAATATATAAACATGTTCAAATCTTTGTAGAATTATTTTCTTGTTAGAAGAGTACACCTTATAATTCACAAAAGCTGTTTTCTCATTTCTCACCAACATTTCAGCCTCCAGAGTGCAGCTTCTCCTTCTAGTCCATTCTGTTCTGGGTGATTTAACAAAGGCTCCCATTTATCAATCCCAATCTCCAAGGTTGTCTCACCCAGTCTCCTTTCATTCAGGACACTCCTGACATGACCTTCAAACCACCTCCATCTTGGACTGGTCACTTCCCTCTGCGGGTGGCTTGTTGTGACTTGGCCCCCTGCTGAGCCCCTTTCCTGACTTTCCTCCCTGCACCTGCTCCTTGAAGGCAGCACAGTCCCAGGGTCCAGTCCTTAAAGCCCCGTCTTATATCACACCCTCTCCCAGGGCTTCTTCTCCCTCAGCTCCTGTGTCTCCTCACACATCACTTCCAGATATCACCTCACCAGCCTCCCTAACTCCCTCCATGATAGCCCCATCCCTATGGGTTACAGGTGCCAGGATTCCTCACATGCTCTTCACAACCAAAATTCTGCCTCTGAACTCATGCTGTTGTCTCATCTGAGGTAAATTAGTAATAAAAATTTCCCTAATTCTTCACCCTTTTTCATATCAGGCTCACACTCTGTCATGTACATTTTACTCACACTCTGACTCTGGGATCAGTCATGCGATTTCATGTGTCTAATGAGAGATCAGCTCATGTGACTGAGCAGAGGTTTAAAGTGCTGGCCCCATGGGTCTTCCCTCTGCCATCTCCATGGAAGGACATTGTAGTTCAGGTGGAGTAGGGCCTATCACCAGCCTTTCCCCTGAAGCTCCTCCCTCAGCCAGGAGCCAGTGACCATTCATGTAACAAGCCCAGCCAAGGTCCACGTGGTGACATTTTCATCTGACCAAATAATGTAGGAGTAAGTTCAGTGGAGAGTAATCAAGCCCATGCCAGGTTAGCTGAAGTCCCCACAGCTCATGTGAATACAAGTCCGTTTCTACAGGTCACTGAGAGATTTTTTCTGTGGTTCTTTGTTACACAGCAGCACTATGGTGACCAGCAACTGATACACATTATTAATGCTCCTGACATTAAATACTAAACTCTACAAAGCCTCGAAAGCCTCTGCAATCCCTTCTTCCACTTTCAATTCTGTGACCCAATTCTCCTCATTCAATTGGGTTATTTCCAAACCTCACCTTCGGCACCTCCTGTGCATCCACCGCCACTGTGTGAACCAGCCCCCTCTCCACCCCGTAACTGCATCCACAAGTCCAGATATTGTCCCAGCCCTTGTCCTTCCCACTGCTGCCAGAGTCATCATGCTAAGTGTTGCTGTGCTGAAAATCTCCAACAGCTCCACATGCAAACACCACAACATGTGCACCAGGACTCCTCATCTGTGACTCCTCCCCAGCCTCTTCTCTCTGCAGTGCTCACACTTTTAAATCTGTGCCCCCAAGGCCCAGCACCTCAAACTAAAGAATCTAACAGCTGTTGTCCACAATCACCAGACTCTGTGGACTCCATCGTCCTTTTTGCATCTGCTCTGAGGGGCTTTATAGATCCTGTTAGATAAAATGACATCCCAGCTCAAATATCTACATCATATGGAGGTTTATATGATGACCTTTGGGAGCATTCATCAGCCACCCTTGACCTCTCTGCTATGTACTCACAACATATTTTATGAGAGTATTGTCGTCTCACAACACCCTGATCCTCACTCTCTCCCACCAGCCATGAGGACTCCATGTGAGCAGATCACACACCAAACACACGCTCCCCCCAGGTCATTCACACTGGCTGTGCCTCCAAGTAGAAATTCCCTTCCCTGTAATGTACAACATGCCTGTAGCCAACATTGCTGTGTGATGTGTAGGGAAGTTGTTAAAGGACAAACTCCAAAGAATTTTTTTTCACAGTGAGGATATTTTCCTTTTCTTGCTTCTTTTTCTTGTTTTTATTAAACGTATAATAGCAGACAGATGTGATTTAACCTATTGTGGCCATAAATTCACTATATATATAAATTTGTCTTTATGCTGTATGCCTCACATCACAAATGATACATAGTAATCATCTTGTCTATAAAACTAGGGAGAAGGAACACCCACACATCAGATATCTACTCAGCTGCATTCCCACTTCCCTGGAGTCTTTGCTCCCATGGCACCAGCCTGAGCTACCATTAGTTATTGCAACCTCCCCTCAGCCCCAGCCCCACATCGCTGACCCCTCTCCCCTGCTCCTCATCACTTCTCACTTCAAAATGTCATTTATGCCCTGGTTATTTATTACAATTGCTCTATCTTCCACTACAAATATAAACTCACAGAGTGAAGAACTTTGTTAGATTTGCTTTTGTATCCAAGAGTTTAGACCAGGGCCAGACATGTAGTAGGTCCCCTGTATATTTACATTTCATAAAACATGAATGAATAAGCCTTTGCTTACTCATAAATGAAATGAAAAACTAAATTCCATTGCCCTTATTTTCTCCCCAATTCCAAAACTCCAGGACTCTGAGATATTTAACATGTCACCAACCTGCCACCTGCAGCTCCAAGGTGGTTCGCCCACTGAAGACTCCGTTGCTGAAGAAACAGGTGTATAGCCCGTTGTCAGCAGCCTGGACTTTGTGGATGCGCACAGCAGCCTGCCCCACACTGAGGAATCCCCCCACCAGCGAGGTCCGCCCTGCATACTGGGCCATAAGCCCCTCATTCCACTCCTGTCGGTTTAGATAGGTGAACACTGACTCCAAATTATTGGTCCGGAGCCACCTCAACTCCATGTTCTCTGCACTCATGACTGGATCCAGGGAGCAGGGCAGTGTGGCATCCTCGCCCAGCTCTGCCACAATGGGGTCTGGAGGGCCAAGCACACGGAACCTCTCTGTGAACACAGACATGGGAGTTAGAAAGGCTGAGAGACACAGTCATATCGGGGAACACACACCATCACTGGGGGAGGCCCGGGCAGGCTGAGGGAAGGTGTCTGATGAGCAGACAGCTAATTACAGGGTAAACCCAAATATAAAATGGGATTTCCAAACTGTGGGTCATCACCCACGTGCTTTAAAGGGAACTTATGAATGCTAAACTGCAGACATACACAAAAAGTTGATAAAAGTTTTATTTACAAGGGAAGGGGAACTGGGGAAATGAGTAACTCAGGGAGAAAAAGAGAGAGATAACTTCGTAAATGCATCCTCCCCATTCCACTGACCTGGAATCCCAATGACCCCGACAAGCTGGCAAAAACCTATCATGCCTTGTGGCCAAAAGGGCGACCCCCAGCCACATGGCCAGTTAAATACCCAAACCCAGAGCTTAGTTGCTTAACCCTGCCCTCAGGTCCTGGCAACCTTCCCTTGGTGATCATGGGATTTATGGTTCCCAGTGTCATGAGGGTGGAGTCCACAAAGCCTGTATGGAGTTTGCTGAGGACATCCTTTCCCCCTATCAATTCCCCCCTTTCACTTTCTGCCATTTCCATGGTGATTAGGAGCAAATATATGGATGCTGGAATACAGTGTCAGATGAACATTTTCAGGTTTCCAGTGTGAAAGAAAACCAGTCTCTCCAGGTATTGTCCATTGTGGAAAGCAAAAGTCCTCCATTCCTGGAAAAACAGTTCAGCAGTCCAAGCCAAAAATAAATAAATAAATAAAAACAAAAACAAAAAAGACTGTCTCCTAAGACTGCACCCTGAGATCTGTGCCACCACCATAGATATGGTGGAATAGAAATTATAAGAGGGGATTGTAACAGGGTGTCCCCAGGAAAGGGGGAGGTTCCAGGTTCCCTACCCCACCCAAAAAAGGAGGGGGGAGCTGAGCAGGGAGAGAAGCTGCAGAGGAGACTGAGGAAGGAAGGAAGCAGGATGGAGCCAGAAGGAGACCTGGAGGAGGCGCATGGAGCCGAGAGACACGTGAAGAAACTGCGCTTGCCTTTTGGTCGTGGACTGGGTGACAGAGATGGGGGTGAGAGACCCGTGGGGAGGTGACAATGGCGGTATTTGCCTTGAATTTGATTTTGCGCTTTTCCTTCCAGACTTATCTGGTTGTTTCTGACCCTTTTCTGTGGGTCCCCACTGGAAGATGCTTTAGATTTGTGGCAGGCTTTGGGGCCTTGCTTTGGGCCAATCCCATTTGGGTGGACTTTTACCCATGAGGGGACAGTTACCTTTGGGTGCTTGATTGATTTAGAAACTATGTTCTTTGTTTTTTCTGTATTGTTTCCTAATTATATTAAAGTTTCCTCCCATTAAAGTTTTCATATGTTTTGTGTTGATGCAGCGGATGGCAAAACCTATTTAGAGCAGGCAGTTTTGGGGGTCTGGGCTGCCCCTCTCCCTGCCCTCCCAGCTTGTTAACTGACACAAAGGATTAACAGTGAAAATTCTGAATCTGGGAAAGATCTTCCACACAACTTGTGGTCCAGAAATAATGTCAAGGATGCTCACTCATTCACTAGTGTGCCCGATATCAGGACCTTCCATAAAATACTCTAACTCCATGGTTCTCACCTTCAGCATCAGAACCTCCAAGAGGGCTGTTAACTGTAAAATGCAGGGACCCTACCCTAGGTCTGATGCAGCAGATTGGGATGTGAAAAAGAATGTGAATTTCCAAAGAGTTCTTGTGGGATTAAGAAGGTGTCTGAGGAAATCTGTTTCATTGCACAGGGGATCATCAATGTGAATGAGTAGACAGGGCACCCAGAGAACACCCGGCTTGCGACAAAATGGGACACTCACATACAGCAGTCACCAGGCAGACAGCACCAAAAGGGACACAGAGGAGAGTCATGTTTCACTGACTAGAGGTAGGCACCTAGAGGCTGTGGTCAGGGTGCGGGAGACTGCAGCACACACTGTGGTGTGTCACTCAACCAGGCACGTGACCCTGGGCAGGGAGAGCTGACAGTGAGGAGGATCAGAGCTCCGACTGGGCACTCCCAGCTAACAAGATCCCAATGAAGAAACAAGGCACAGAGCTGGATGCACCCCCACGACCCCTCAGGACTGGCCCCGCCTTCCTGAAGATCAGGGATAGTGTGCACAGGGCAGCATCTCAGGGCTGGACTGAGAGAGGCGGGTATCAGGGTAACACAAACATGAGCTCTCATGCCCCAGCCAGAGCACCCACACCAGAGGCTGGATAACTGCAGGCCCCACAGTCTCTGACTCAGCATCTCAACATCAGGTCTCTAGTCCTATATAAGTTACAAATCTAAAAACACAACAGGGTCACCTGATGTAAAGTTACAAGTAGTTCAACTCTCTAAGTTACCACTACAGATGTATTTTTTTTCAAAAATAGAAAATTAAAGCAGCAAAATAAGCCCCAGAACGTGAGATCTCAAGACAAGACGAACTCTGCAATACATAACTACAAAGACATAGAAGATCATATCTTACTATCAAGTAGAGTTCAAATTGCCATAATAAAGAAAGTCAAAGAAATGGAGAAAACACAGAAAAATGAATCAAAAAGAAAAACAAAATTCAGAACAATAAATGAATGACTTGGAAAATAAAATGAGTAAAAAAATACCAAATTGAATCCTTAAATTAAAATCACAGAGATGGGGGCTGTGAAAAGATTAGCAGAGAAGCTACTCACTCCTGGAGAAGCTATTGGAGCAGAATAGACCAAATGAAAGATCAAATCAGTGACCTGACTGTAATAATGAACAATAACCAAAATAGAAGAAAAAAGAGAAAAATGAAGAAAAACTGTAAGAACTAACCAATCTATGAGGAAAGGCTACATAAGCATAATGGATACTCCACAATTTGAAGAGAGACAGGAACAGAGATTCATTCAAAGAAATAGAGTAACATGACATATATACACACATTTTATGAAATAGTACTCAGATTTTTAAAAGATTTATTTTTATTTATGTATGCATATAAGAGCTGGGGTGTAGGCCAGAGTATGGGGGTGGGTGGGAGGATGAGGGGATTCACCAGAGACAGAGTGGGGAGCAGAACAGGCAGATTAACAGAAATAGACTGTTGAGGGGAGCAGCTAGCAAGACAGGAGAGTCTGCTACAAGATGTGGATCAGCTCCCTGGCCAGGGATCAAACTCCTACTGCAGTGGCTGGTGATAGCTTGATAATGGTGAGACTTAACCCTTTGCACCACCAGGGGGGATCACAGATACTTTTTTTTTGAATAAGTAAAATCATGTCATTTAAAACAAAATGGATGGAACTTGAAGATATTATGCTAAGACAAATGAACAAAAGAAATTCCTGAAGGAGGTGCTCCCAGTGCCCCTGGGCCCCACCCACCAAAGGGAGACACAGGACAGGGAGGGACACACTCACCTTGGGACCCCCCAGGGGGCAGCTGGAGGAGGAGCAGCAGGGAGGGGAGGAGGCAGAGCACAGAGCTGGGGCAGGAGCAGGGCACCATCTCCTCAGGGCTGGGGAGAGACAGGGCAGGAGGCAGCCAGGCCCACACAGAGGAGCAGGGCAGCCAGAAGGTCTGGGCTCAGCGGCGCGCAGAGCCCAAGGGACCCCCACCAGCAGGAGCAGGGCCTTCCTGGTGACTCTTTAGGCCCTGAGATCAAGGAGGACAGACCTGGCTCCTCTTGGAGATTCTGAGCCTCTGTGCTGCTAGAGACCATGACTTTTATTGGTGAAAAACATCCTCCCTTCCCTTCATACAGTGTGGAACCCACACCCCAGACTCACTGCTCAGAGCACCGGGCCCCTCCATTCCCAGCAACAGGGCCCAGAGTGCAAACTGCCCTCTCTGCTTTCCCATCATCACACCCAAACCCAAGCCCCCATGAAGGACAGGCCAGTGCCTGCTTGTGGTCCTGTCCCCCTCAGTGTGACCAGGTGACCCTGAGAAGCCTCAGGACACACGACACTGTCCCCAAGGAGTCAGGGTCCCCTCACAGGCCCCTGTCCTGCTCTGTCTGCTTTTCCAGCTCACCTGAAGTTGTGTCCCTCCCCAGCCCTGACCTGCCAGGGACAAAGACAAGGTCCTTCCCCAAACACAACAGGAACTGGGTCAGATCCCCACTAGGGCCTCTTCCTCTTTTCTCTAACTCTGTGGGGATTTCTGCCTCATGGTGAGGGACCCAGTGAGACAGAGCAGCAGAGAAAGGAAATGAGTCCTGCTCAGAGAAAACACCCTCAAACCACACACCTCTGGGGTTGGGGGGAGGTAGGTCATGGTCCTGGAAGGGCAGATTCTGGGGCTGACTCTAGACTCAGCCACTCTCTGTGTGACCATCTTCATCAAGTCTCTTAACCTTCCTGCCTCACTTTCCCCACAGGAAAATGGGAAAGTATCAGCCTCTCCCAATCAAGGTTGGAATGAGAATTACATGAATTATATTTGGAGAGTCACTACCTAAAATTCTAGAACAGGGTCCTGCCCCAGGATGTTACAGACACATTATTAATATAAATGAAGTACAATCTTCAAAGAGGTTGTGCTGGGAGCTCTCAGACCTGCACCATTTCTTGTGCCATCTCCAGTCACACCCAAGCCCCACCACCTTCTCAGGCCCTCCTTACAGTCAGCGGCTCCCCACTTTCTTTTCTTAAAAGAAACATGTCTTCAAAACTGACATACCTGCTTTGAAATGGCGGGGCTTCTAGGGCGTTCCGTCGAACTTGAGACGTTTCAGTGCTTCCCCAAATCTTCTTACAGTGTTAGCACCTGCTGTTAGCTGCTCAGGAGCCCTGCTAGGTCCCAAGGGGCCTCATGGCTCAGAGAAGATGGTTCTCAAGAGAGTAGACAGGCAGAATTCGGCGCTCGTTGAGGGGTGTTTCACCATGGGTGGGATCCCTGGGATCCTCCAAATTTTCTCATAAAAACTCTATCACCCTTCTCTGGCTCCTACAGGATCTGAAAGTGAAAGCTTGAAATGCAACCCCAGCAGCCTCCACCCTGCCCTCTACACAGTGCACCCGAGAGAGAACTTCCTTCCTATTTCAGGAAGGAAGCAGCATATCAGATGGGTCAGAAGAGGGGAGGGACAGGCACCCCGAAACCCCTGCAGGGACAGGGGAGGTGCCCACCCAGCACCCACTGTGAACACCCACTGTGCTCCAGGCTGCTTGGATCCCAGACCCAGAACTAAGGGTGAGTGTGGGGCCCAGTCAGGACTGACTCTGAGCCCCATGAAGGGCTCAGTCTGTGCCACCCCATTGACCCCAGGTCAGCTGTCACCCCACTTGGCAGAGCCTGTGAGGAGCCCCCAGGAGACTTGTTTTCTTCTCCTCACAGCAGATGACACAGGACCTCCCACACCCTGGACACCAGGAGTCAGCACTGGGCACCAGGAGCTGCCAGGACCTGGTCCTGCCCACACTGCATGGACGGGGCCTGTGGCTTGTTCAGATGTTAATGTCACCCGAGACCTGGTCACAGTGACCAGACCCTGTCCCTCCAGGACACGGGTCACCAGGAAGGCCCAATTCTATGTCTCCAAGGAAACCATGGGGCCTGGGCATCCCTCCCCCCTCACTTCCTGTGGTTCCCCTTCTCAGTGAAGGGCACCTGTGTCCCCCCAGTTATCTCTGCCAGAGACTCCAGGGTCATCTTCACAGTCCACTCCCCACCCAGCCTACTTACCATGCACCCAAATGTTCAGTGCATGTCCATGACCAGCAATTATTCCACATCACTCTCATTTCTCACCTGGCCCAAGGGTCACCCCACCCCAAGCCTCACCCCCCCCAGCCCATTTCCTTCCAAGACCATGACCCTCTCCAGTCAGCTCATGTCAGCTCCCTGTCTCATCCCTTCAGGGGATCCCTCTGCTTAAAGGAGGGGCTCCCAGGGCTCCCTCTCCCTCTCTGACTCTTCCATTGCTCCCATTGCTCTCCCAGGAGCCCCCTCTGGCTCAGGTGACTCCTCCAATTCAGGGAGCTCTCCCAGCCTCAGTCCTCCTCACAGTCCCTGATGTTCCTGCTGCCTCTGCTCCCCAAACCCCTCAACTTTTAGGCCTCACCTGAAGTGACCTGCTCCTAGGGGCCACCCCAAACCTCTCCATCCCCCTTGAACATGCTATTTGGGGACAGGAGGCCTGTTTTTGACCACAGCCCTGACACTTTTCATCTGGGGAACAATGTGGGATCCCTGGAGGAGTCCCTGTGAGTCCAGCAAGGAGGGGCCTCACCAGCCTCAGCTGAGCTCGTCTGCAGAGGAGACGCTGCTGCTGTCCATCGGCTCCTCCTGAACATAACTGAGTCACTAATCACATCTCACTCACTTGGAAACAGTGAGGTCAGCACCTGTGTCTGCCTCCCAGGCCTGCCCAGGGCTCAGGGTCACCAGGCAGAGACTCCTGAGAGTGTGGCCCTCACCACTGTCCTGCCAGGGCTCACTCTCCCTGTCCTAAGGGTCCGGCTATATCTGTTTTTACTTTCTTTTTTTTTTTTTTTTAGGTTTTATTTTATTTACTTATGCATACAAGAGCAAAGGTATAGGTCAGAGATGCAGGGTTGTGGGGGTGAGAGGACTCACCAGAGACAGAGCAGAGCAGGCAGACTGACTGAAATACACTGCTGAGGGGAGCAGCAGGTGAGACAGGAGAGGTCTGCTGCACCATGTGGGTCAGCTCCCTAGCCGGGCATGGAACTTCTGCTGAAGTGGCTGCAGGGGTATCTTCATAATGTTGCAACTTAACCCCTTGCTCCACCAGGGAGTCCTGTGTCTGTCTTCATGGAGCAAGGAGTGTTCTTTTATCTCTGAAATCCAAATCCATGATTTCTGCCTGGAAGTCAACTATGAGATATTAAAATGCTGGTACAACCCAGGAGTTCTAGAAATACCTAATACATCCCAGGTTGTTATCATTAAAGTTTCCTTTGTGACAATCTCCCCTTAGACTCAGGAATATTGGGAAAATCCATCTTTATCTGGAAAAAACTGAAGAAAAAGGAAAATACTCTCCACTGTGTTTACCCCATCTGCCACCACATACCTGCAGAGGAGACGTCTCTCGGGGATACCTCTTGGCCTAGAGACATTAGGAGAATTTGATGAAGACACAGAAGGAAGAAAACCAAATTTCACTGAGCACCTAGTAGGTGCCAGGAGCTGGACTGCACAGTTGGTGTCTGTGGCCCCTGATTCTCACACCTGCAGACGGGTGTAGTGACATAATCCAGGACCTTCCTGGGGGAGGGGCTGAGGCTGCAGGATGTGCCCCACCCCCACCCCTGCTCTCAGCTCAGCCAGCTCCCAGCTCCACACCCCTCAGGGGGAGGGGAGTAGGAAGGGAACCTCCAACTGCCCCAGGAGTACACACCCAGAAACCTCACCTCACCTCACCTGAATGCTGCCCTTGGGCCCCTGTGGGGAGGGGAGAGAAGGAGGGACAGAGCACAGGGCAGGTGTCCCTGGACAACCCTGGGGGACACTGGACACCCTGCAGGAAGGACACTCACCCCCCTCACTGCCTCTCCAGCTCCTCAGGGCCTGTTCCTGCTGCTCTGTCAACACACACTGTTCTTTGTTCTGTCTTGTTCAAATATAAATTGTCCTGGTGCTGGTGGGTTAATAATTTACTTTCCTGTTCAACCAAGTTATAATACCTGTAATCTTTTCATGGTGTCAAGTACTTTGGAAATAGTTTCAGGAAAATACATGAGGAAGCTAGAAACAGTGGTAAATATAAAATAAGTTGTAATTTTAAAATACAACTATTGATGGGAGGATTAAACCCCATTTACATGAACTTGCAATCCAGTGAAATTTAATATATCTTGACTCTGTTAACATGACGAGTTCACTGGATTCTCATCCACGGCAGAAAAATGATCAAAACAGTGTCATATTGCTTCATTGCTGGGCAGGGTTGGGGAGCTGGTAGGAGGAGGAGATGGGAAAGTAAAAGATACACACACACACACAGGCACACAGGCACACACACACACACACACACAGAGTTTCTACAGGTTTTAATATGTGGCATGAGGAAACTAGGACACTAAGCCTAACAAACAAGAAGCAGGTTTATTATACAGTACTTGACTCCGGATCTCCATACAAAGGCTGAGCACCCTCCAAGAAGTTAAGGGCTTGTGTACATTTCAGCTTGTGTTGGAAGCATTAACACTGTAACTGTTCAAGGGCAGACATGGCATGACTTACAGCCCAAGAAATGCAGGAAGTTGCTTATCACAGGACCCAGGGCTGCCTTCTCAAGTGCCTTCAGTTTCATTGAGCAAAACCACTGGGCTTGTTGTGCCCAGCGTCAACAAGTGCAGCCCCCAAGGACACACAGACAACCAGTGCAAGAACACAAAGGAGTTTATTATGGGCTCGAGTCCAGGCTCACGAATCACACCAACGCAGTGGCAGAGATCGAGAGCCCCGAACAAAGGAAGCAGGGGTTTTTCATAAGGTTACAGACCGACTCAAAAATCAAATCATGCTAGTTGTCACCCATTGGCTACTAGAGTGCATTTTGGCATGCGTGGTTGTAGTCTTAAGCTGATTGGACAGGTAGAGATGCAGCCCCATTTATGGATAAGATTGCCCTCATTGGCGGCTGGGGATGGTTTGACTTTATGTCAACAAGTGGGGTGAGGGCTGTGACTGTTGAAACTATCTCCGGAATGCAGTTTTGCAGGAACTAAAATATCAAGAAGGTGGATATACAAAATGGTGAAGCCTTGTCTAAGCTTGGTTCCACAGGCTTCCTTTGGGGAAGTTAGGAGAGAAGTTTTACATCCATTGGAGCCCAGGGTGAGATAAGGGTCTAGAGGGACAGGGCTGGGGTCTCTGTGCTTTGGCATGTACAAAGCTGGTTTTCAGTTCCTGGATGGGGAAGGGGCATGGAGATAGGGCTGCAGGCTTTGTGCTAAATTCCCAGCCTACCCAAAATTGGGGCTCAGAGGAGAGGCAAAAAACTTATTAGAAAATTTGTTTAAAATACTGTAGCCTCATCTCTTTTAATGTGTTGTTTGTTTGCTTTTATAATCTGCGTAATGTTTGTACATACATGTTAGCAGAGCTGCATCCTGCTAAGATATCACTGAAAAGAGTGAATGAGCAAAAGAATTAAGATCCCAGCCCCAAACCCCAACTCCCAAGTGTCATTGAATCAGCAGGTCCCAGAGGGAAGCAGGGCCATCCTGCAGCTCCTGCCTGGGGGCACCAGAAAGGGGGGCTACTTGGTGGGGGAGGAGCCCAGGGGCCATAGAAAGGCCCCCAGGCTTGTCCCCAGGGTCCATGGGGCTCTGCTGCCCCCTTCTGGCCAGTGCAGGGAGGACACCGAGGGAGGGAAAGGAGGATGCAGACAAGGAATCTTGGAATTCTGGAGAGCTGGACCCAGGAGAGCTGGACCCAGGAACAAAAATACAAACCTTGCAGGATACTGAGGTATGAAGTTAAAAAAGCCAAAACAGCTCAATGATGGCGGAAGTCATATGAGCAGTTTCCTTGCAGGTTATAAGCACAGGGAGGGACACCAGGGGGAGTCCTGGGTGGTGAGACTTCATCACGTGCACATTCACTTACTGTTCTTTTTTTTTTTTTTTTTTTTTTTTTATAGAGGCATGTTTTCTTTGTTTGTTGTTTGTTTGTTTTTTGTTTATACATGCACTGGGTACAGTCAGAAGCGCGGGAGGGTGAGAGAATTCACCAGAGCGGGGAGCAGAACAGGCAGAAGGACCGAAGTACGCTGCTGAGGGGAGCAGCGGGCGGCAGGAGAGGTCTGCGTGCCATGCGGGACCCTCCTCCGGTGGCCGGGAAGCAGCCGGGGATCGAACCGGCGCCGCAGAGGCCGCGGGCAGCTTCGCAACCCAGCGCTCAACCGCTGCGCCACCGGGGAGGCCCCACTTACTGTTCTTTTTAAGAACAAAAAAACTGAGTACCTGTTACAGGGCAGCCCCGATATGAAACGGGTTGCCTGACTGTGGGTCCTCACCCGTGTGCTTTAAAGGGACTTATAATATTACTCAACTGCAGGCACACGCAAAAAGGTTAATAAAAAGTTTATTTACAAATGAAGGGGAAATGAAGAAATGAATAACTCGGGGTGGGGGGAAAGAGAGGGAGATAAATGGGTGAATGTGTCCTATCAGTTCCGCTGAACTGGAACCCCAATAGCATGCTGAGAGCTGGCAAAAAGCCAAAAGCCCCCCTCCCCCCACCATGGCCCACATGCCTGGTTTTATACCAAACCTGCCTACTTAACTCCACCCTTGGTTCCCTGCAGTCCTCCCTTTGGTGACGACATTATGGGATTTGTAGTCTGCTGGAGTCCAGCTCTGACCGGGGCAGCATCCCCGAAGGAGGAGACTGAGTCGGTGGAATGGACGGATGAGAAAATGAGGGAATGAGGAGACACAGACACTTGATCAGGGTGCAAGTTTCTTCTGCTGAGGGTCTCAGTGGGTCTTTATTTATACATGAGAAATATTTTATTTGATATTACATCATGCAATCATGTGATTTTACTTTTACATTGTTTCAGAATTTATTTTTGATCATCAGTCAGTGCACAGCCCTTTTTTAATTTTCCTAGTCTATGATTAACTTGGTTGCTTGGTTACATTAATTCCCTAGGTGATGCATGTTATTCAGAAAATAGAAACAGATGCTATACACAGTGTGATTTATGCTATCAAGCTAGGTAACTAAAGCAAGGCTAAGCAGGCATTGTAAGATTGAGGGCAGCCGCCTATTTTCCATATAGAACCAAAGGGTCCGGTTACCATGGGAACAGTATGTGATGTGTTTTTCTCGGACCATTTCGCCTTCTGGGGTGCCTCAGGGCCTTCTCTTGTGGGGACTTTTACCGGGATCAGTTCCAACAGTTCTAGAAAGTGTGGCTTGTTAAAGAAGTCAGTGTTACTCATGGTAACAGAATTATAAATTGGAGGACATGGAGGAATATTGGAAACCGTTTCATTATCAATCATGTTGGAAGGTACATTTCTTAAACTACTAAAGTGTGCATTACCAAAACTGGCACTGATGCAAACACTCATTGTGTTATTCTTAAGCTTATCGAAAATTTTCATGGTTACAATAACTGCCACAAACAAATGAAAGGAGCCAGCTGCGGAGCTTCCCAACTTTTCAGGAATTTCCCCATGCCCAGACCTTGTCAGACAGCATGAGTAGCATGGCCTGGCCATCTCCCCCATTGGTGTCTTGGATCTCTTTGGTCTGGAGTGGGGGTGGGGTCCATAAAACCAATTTGTGGGGTTTATTCAGGACATTCCCACAGGGAAGCAGGGGACACAGTCAGCATCTCTGTCCAGCCAAGCCTCACCCATTGTCTATCCCACATGCTCCCCAAACTCACAGCTGCCCTGAGGTCTGACAGGGTGAGGGTCTCCCCTTTCATGGACCACAACACACACACACACACACACACACACACACCCCTCCTGCATCTTGAAATCTAAAGCTTTTCACTTTCACCCATCCCTCCCTTCTTACCCCCAGGGAGCCCCAAAGGCAGTGATGGGTCTCCATAAAAAGGGGAGGCTCCTTTCTCCCTGCCCACCTAATGAAGGGTGGAGCTGAGCAGCCAGAGAAACTTAGTCTTGGGTAGTCAGTTTTGGAGTTGTTGGGTTCAGAGAGTGGGGCGCTGGGAAAAGTTTCACCAGAGCTCCCCTTTCAGCAGCACCGGCGAGTTTCCCTGGGAAGTTTCCCCACGAGACAGAGACATTAGCTGTATCCAAAAGGGCAGGTTTATTAAGAAAAGGGACAGGGTTCTCCCTGGTGGTGTAGGGGTTAAGTCTGAGTTCAATCCCCAGCCAGGGAGCTAACCCACAAGGCACAGCAGACCTCTCCTGTCTCACCCGCTGCTCCCCTTGATGGAGGAGAGAATAGAAAACCTAAAGGAGGCCTCACAAGACTAAAACCTGACTCACACAGGATGTGGGGGTGGAGGGGATTAAGAAGGCCATTAACGGGCCTCCCCGGTGGCGCAGCGGTTGAGCGCTGGGTTGCGAAGCTGCCCGCAGCCTCTGCGGCGCCGGTTCGATCCCCTGCTGCTCCCCGGCCACCAGAGGAGGGTCCCACATGGTGCGCAGACCTCTCCTGCCGCCCGCTGCTCCCCTCAGCAGTGTGCTTCGGTCTTTCTGCCTGCTCTGCTCCCCGCTCTGGCTCTGGTGAATCCTCTCACCCTCCCCCACTTCTGACTGTACCCAGCGCATGTATAAACAAACAAACAAATAAATAAATAAACATGCCTCTATTAAAAAAAAAAAGAAGAAGGCCATTAACCCAGCTGTAGCAATCAAGATCCTTAGGCTCCAGAGCCTTATTACAAGGCGAAGGCCCAAGCAGGTATCAGATGCTGTAGGGAGTGTCCGGAGCACAGACCTGAGGGTAAAGATATAGAGATGGGGGCCCATGCTGGAACCTCTGGTCCCTTTCAGATTCTGCATGGTTATGCAACGTCAGCAACTCACCCAAGGCTCACAAGGAGTGACCCCTCCCACACAGAAGAGGACTATATCAGGGC